CTCTCCCTTCCCTCAGGAAAAGAAACAGAGAAAACCGAGTCTGGTTCGCAAACCGAGACAAGACACAGAAGAGGGTTCGGAAGTCCGGAGGCAGGGCTCATGGCCGTGACTCTAAAACTTCTGAACGAGCACTTTATGCAACATCACCAAGCGCTCAATCGGTGACGTCTGAGTCTTAAGGTCGGTCAAAAATGGGGTGTCTACAATAGTAATGAGACTTTCATTCAATATTACTTTGGGTGAATTATAATCCATTGGATGAGGACAAAGTGAGACCATTGCATGAAGAAAGAAGGCCATAAACATAATTTGGGTGGACCTCATTGTTTTAAACAGTTGTGAGGAAGTAAAAGAAAAAAAAAGGAAAATTATAGAATAATGAGATTCAGTGTAAAAAATTACAAATAAATGTGGAATCAATCTTAATTACAAAGGGGTGAAATCCCCCATTGAAATCACAAAATTGCACCTCTTCCATATTCTAACTTTGTCTTCTCTTTCCTTTGTAACCCCCACCTTGCCTTCATTCGCCACCCCTACACCTCCCCTATCTTGGCCACATACTCCTAGTCTTCTATCTCACATCAATCACATAGTCCAACCTTCCATCGCAAATCACCAGTGTGGTCGAGCATAAGAGACAAAGGATGATCGTGATAGAGAGAGAGAGAGAGAGAGAATGCATGAGATTTAGGATTTTAGAGTGAGAGTGTGAAAGAGCCAGGGTTCAGTGCGACATATAGATGATCTAGGGATTAAGAAACAAGGGCTAGGAGTGTTATGTTGGTGTAGGGGTGAGTAAGGGGTGACATGGTTAGATGGGAGAGGAATGGTTAGCTGTTGAGAAGGATATAGAAAGGGTAACCGATGAAGGAACGAGTTGAGGAGGGAGAGAGCGAGAGAGAGAGAGGAGGGGGGTTTAAACAAAACAGGACTGATACAGGCCCCCTCAGTTTCTCACCCCCACCACCCCCACACACACGTGGGGGTTGGTGAGTGGGGGAGTAAAAAAATAAAATAAAATATATATATATATATATATATTTTTGACCAATGAAAAGAAGAGGGGGTCGTGGGGGTCACAGTCCCGAGGGGGTCTCAGTCTTTTTTCTAAACAAAAATAATATATAGGTATGTTTTTAAAATTATTTTAAAACTTTTCTTCTCTAGGGTAAATAAAATTGTTACCCCATGGCTTTGTTATTCTTTTCCTCAAATACCATTTTCCCCTAATTTTTCTAAAAAAACTAAATATGTATACGGAATATTTTTTTTATTTTTCATGACAAATTGAATATTCAAAGTGTATCAAAGCAACTCTAATGGTCATTGCCAAAATAGCATTATGTTTAAATGTCAAATTTTAGCATGTTTCGCTAGTGCAAATGTCATTTTGCCACATACAAACTATTGTTTATTTATTTATGTTGGATATCTCATTTCAAAACTATTGAGTCAAAACCTTATTTTAGGTGAGTTGAGTTGTCACATATAGATATTATCAAACTTTGTGTCAAATTTAACATAAAATTTGACAATATTATTTTGTTTAAGAATTTTTGACAAATTGTTGGAGAATAGTCAACTCAAGTTGCTTGCCTAGAACTGAAAAACTTAAATTACCGCTTGAAAAATGTTTAGATATTTATTAAAAAAAAAAAATTTAATTTGACTTACAATAACATTATATATAACGTTTTATTTGACATAAATTTAATTATATAAGACTTAATTCTTTTACCCACTTTATTGTGAATAAATTTTCGAAACTTAAATTGTGAGCTGTATTTTATAAAAGTGGTAAATTATAAATACACCTTCTAAGATTTGTTTAAAGTATAAATTGTCTCATGTAGTTTGAAAAATGACAAATACCCTCTTGTTAAAAAAATTTATTTAACAGAATTAATTAAAAAAATAATAATTTGACTTACAATAACATTATATATAACGTTTTATTTGACATAAATTTAATTATATAAGACTTAATTCTTTTACCCACTTTATTGTGAATAAATTTTCGAAACTTAAATTGTGAGCTGTATTTTATAAAAGTGGTAAATTATAAATACACATTCTAAGATTTGTTTAAAGTATAAATTGTCTCATGTAGTTTGAAAAATTACAAATACCCTCTTGTTAAAAAAATTTATTTAACAGAATTAATTAAACAAATAAAATTCATAATTGCTCTCCTATACAATAATAAAATTAACTAAATTATTAATTGAAACATATTTCTAACATCATTAAAAATTGTTTGTTGATTTGATGATTTATTAATAAAAAGGGCGATTTGTTATGAAATTACAAACCTCAGGAGGTAGAATGTAATTTTCAGAACTACAGGAGACAATTTGTATTTTAATTAAACCTTAGGGGATATATTTGTAATTTACCCTTTATAAAAGATAAAGAGTTGTTTTAGGAAGTTAGTTAAAAATTAATTTTTTGACTTTTTAAAACAAATATATATAAAAAAATTGATATAATACAAAAATAAGTTAAACACTGACTTTTAATTTTTTTATGTTGTTCCTAAAAGAGACTTAGGAATTGTTTGGGATAAACTAAATAAGTGCACTTTTTAACTTTTTATGAAATATACGTTGGGTATGGGTTGTATTTGAAATGATATAATAGAGAGGTGATGTGAATAAAATAAGATGATGTGACTTAAATAGGATAGTGACTTTTTAACTTTTTAATTTTTTTTAGTTACGACAAACCAAGCCTAAAGTTTAGCCGTTAATTGCGCGCATAATCATGAGACACTATAATGATTTGTTGGATTGTTGAGTTAATTTTCTTTTACAACTTTCGTAAGCAATGGTAGCCAAATTTGTTTGAATTCTCAAATTTGAACTTGTTTGTGGGAGAGAATCTCAGCCACTGATCTTAAAATCAACGGCCAAAAGGAACAACTAAACATGTGCACTATATCCACCATGTCTTATCCGTTGGTCCAAAGAATAATGCTTGGGACCCCCTTTTGGGGGTCACCCCTCACCCGTTTGCCACGTGGCAGGGGGTGATTGGAGGAGCAGGAAAAAAAAGAAAAAGAAAAAGAAAAAGTAACCAATGAGAGAGAGAGGGGGTCAAAGGAGGTGGGAGAAAAGGGGGATGAATCATTACTCTTGCTCCAAATCATTCTCAACGAATCAATGAGTGGTTGGAATTTGAAAAAGGCAGCACTTTTCCTATATCAACCAACCAACAAGTATTATCACATAATATCACCATGTTTTTTTTTTTTGATAACAGCATGAAATTGAAAGGATTTTATTTGTGATTTTAATTATTTTTCTTAGTTTTTTATTATTTTATTTTACATGAATCTTATTTTGTTAGTTGGTTGATGTAAAAAAAAAATGGGAGTGTTTTTACAAAAAATTCTTATATATTTTTTTTTATAACAAACGTTATAAATTAAACATGTTATAATTATTAAAATAATTTTTTTTTTAAAGATGTATGAATTTTTTTTTTAAAAATGAACGATTCGAATAATAAAAAATGAGCCTATCGGGAGTCCCATGAACCCAAACAACATTATTCAATTCAGATTTGGACTACTTTCATTACTTGACTATTTGTTTAAAGACAATTACAATAAATTATGATTATTCAATTAATCTAATTTTTTATTTAAATAATATAAATAAAAGATGGTGTAAGATAAACAATTTAAATAATTAAATAAGTGCGATCATAAATTTTATAAATCTGAAGAGCACCCTCTAGTGGAATCTTAAATTAAAGGGAATCTAACCCTTAAATTTAACTACACGAAGGCAAAAGTCTCCGCATTTCATTATCTTTCTTTGAAAAACATAAAGGATTCATTTTTGTTTTGGGCAAATTACATAAATAGTCCCTATAGTTTGAGATTTGTGTCATTTTGATCTTTGATTTTTTTATTGTGACACATTTGACTCTGAATTTTAAATCATGTTCCAAAAAAGGACAATTGAATATATAATTAGATTTTTCAAGGGTAAAATTGTCAATTTGATAAAATATAAACTAATTTGACAAAAATAAATGTCAAACAAATATTTTTGAATTTTTAAAAATTATTTCTACCTACTAAAAATAAAATTATATAAAATTGATAAATCTTTTAGACATTTTTTTTAGCAAATTAATTTTTATTATGTGTTTAGATGATGATCATGTAAAATTAATTTTAAAAAATTAATCATGTAATTTTTATTAATTTTACATAATTTTATCATTGATGGATAAAAATAATTTTAAAAAAATTAAAAATATTTTTTTGACATTTATTTTTGTCAAATTAATTTATATTTTATCAAATTGACGATTTTACTTTTGAAAAATCTAATAATATTTTCAATTATTCTTATTTGAAACAAGATTTAAAATTAAAAATCAAATATGTCACAATTAAAAAGTTAAGAAACAAAGTCACACACATCCAAACTATAGGACTATCCCGTTTGTTTTGGGTGAAAGAGAGGGTATTGGGATTGCTAATACCAAGGTATTAGTAATAGCCTTGTTTGTTTTGGGAGAAGGCCTTGGGACTATTAGTCCCTTGGTATTACTAATATCCTTGGAGAGAGGATTGGTAAGGAGGAGGTAGAGATGGAAAAATTAATCATGTAATTTTTATTAATTTTACATAATTTTATCATTGATAGATAAAAATAATTTTAAAAAAATTAAAAATATTTTTTTGACATTTATTTTTGTCAAATTAGTTTATATTTTATCAAATTGACGATTTTACTTTTGAAAAATCTAATAATATTTTCAATTGTTCTTATTTGGAACAAGATTTTAAATTAAAGGTCAAATATGTCACAATTAAAAAATTAAGAAACAAAGTGACACAAATCCAAACTATAGGAATTAACCCTTTTGTTTTTTTAATGATTAAGTTCAAATCAACTGTCATGATGCTCTATAATTCATTTTAAAATTCCAGTGAGAGTTGAATATATTTGAAGATTGAGAATCAACACTTCATCTTAATGCTATTACAGTCATAAACTTGTATTGGGTGACCTTACAGAGTTCAAAACAATTTTCATCCACTCATAGCACACCCCTATCTCCAATGGAAAAGCCAACAACCGTTTCAATATCAAACCCATATCCACCAATCTTTTGAAAGTCTTAAAACCAGTGTTGCCACACTCTCTCTCTCTCTCTCTAAAGTTGGTGTTTTGGACCCTTTTTCCGGCAGTCTCAGGTAGATTCTTTACCCATCTTTCACTCATTGTTTATAGTTCTTGGGAATCAGAAATGTGTCAAAACCCCAATGGCTACAGTGTTTGGTGCTCTCTGTAGAACTATGAATGTTTGTTTTTACGTAGTTAGACAAATGGGTGCCTGAATCTGACACACTGTTGCCTGAATCGGACTAATTACAGATTTCATTATTTGCAGGAATTTCTTTGGGTAAATTTGAAAAAGATACCCTCAAATTTAACGTAATTACATTGGGCTCGGTTTATATTTTGATTTTCATAACGCTTTTCATAATCGTATTGAAAGGGAAATCGGTGTAACCCCCCTAAATCTCAAGTGTTGTTAGTGTAATTTACCCAATTTGTTTTATGTTCATCTTCAAGCCCTCCCTCAAGTGGAATTTCAAGTGCGGTTAGGCTCGGTTAAGATTTTAATTCCCATAACAGTTAGTCCGCTTTTAATCAGCTTGCTAAAAGAGAAATCGATATAATTAAGTGAAATTTGTGGAACTTATTGTATTTTTATTTTTCTAAATGTCAAGGTTGTTAGTGTAATTTACCCAATTTGTTTTATGTTCTTCTTCAATCCCTCGCTTAAGTGGGATTTCAAGAGGGGTTAGGCTCGGTTAAGCTTTTGATTCCCATAACAGTTAATTCACTTTTTATCAGCATACTAAAAGGGAGATCTGTATAATTAGTCAGATTTGTGGAACTTATTATATTTTTATTTTTCTAAATGTCAAGGTTGTTAGTGTAATTTACCCAATTTGTTTTATGTTTATCTTCAAGCCCTCCTTCAAGTGGGGTTTCAAGAGTGGTTGATGACCTTTTGGTCATGTTTGCACTTATTTTTTCTTTATTATGGTTGAAAATTAGATAACAGACTTGTTCCACTTTTTGCCTGGTTAGATAGTGTAAAAATGAGTAGGATGATACACCAATGAGTTGGGAAACTTGGTCCACTTTTGTCCTAGTTACTTCATAATACACCAATGAGTTTGATAGGTTGTGTCCATCAATGTATTTATTTATTTATTTATTTTTGTTGTTGTTGTTACTAAGTCAATTATGTGCAACAATGAGTTGATTGTTTATCATTTGTTCGTTTTTTTTATATCAAGGGTGGGCCTTTGTATACCGGTAAGGTTGTTTCATTGTGATCTGGGCATCATGGGTTAGAAACGTGACAAGGGTGTCTCTTAGGATAACTTGTACATGCTGCATAGTTTTTGCCAGTAGTAGAATACTGAGATAACAAAAATCTTTGGACTCAAAAAAAAATCATGTATGGGGACAGAGAGGTAGCGACATTACATGTTGGGGCCGGTTAGCAACAATTATTTTGTTGACTGCTAATAACAGTTTAGCCCAATCAAATGGTTGACTTAATGAAACAATTGAGCATGGTTAAGTCATAATATGAATAGAAGATTTTTGTATTTTTTTCTTTCTCCAAAGAATAATAATAGCGTTTCTATTCCATTTGCATTAGTCATTTGCTGTTTGCCTTCTAATCCCAACAAATTTTTTTGTTGAAACTCTTCCGAGAGAGAGTTATGATTGTCTAGTGCACCAAAAATTGGGTCAATTTTAATCTTTCTTCTACCGGGTTGTGGAATTCCTGATTAAAGCCATTTCTGTTTTTCAGGGAGGGATAGGTGAAAATGGCACAGATTTTGGCTCCTTCCCCACAATGGCAGATGAGAGTTACGAAGAACTCAACAAATGCGAGTCCAATGACATCAACAATGTGGAGTTCTCTATTTTTGAAACAGAACAAGAAAGCAACAGCTAAAACCTTTGCCAAATTTAGGGTGTTTGCTCTACAGTCTGAAAACAGCACAATAAACAGGATGGAGGATCTGCTAAGCATGGATGTAACACCATACACTGATAAGATCATTGCTGAGTATATATGGTACATTTCCTTTGCTGAACGTCCCATTCTCATAAGCAGGAAACATCCTCATAGTAGCAATTTTTGGTTCACTAATCCTATAAATCAACTGGGAATTGTTTTTTCAGTTATGCCACTATTTATATTTATTGTTGGTTATACAGTTAACTATCTTGACAATCTATGCTATTGCCTTTTGAAACAGGATTGGAGGATCCGGTATTGATCTCCGTAGTAAATCAAAGGTATTAATATGTTTGATGCTGTTAATATTATCTACATTGAATTTTAGTTTTTTTTTTTTTAACGAATCTTTGAAATTCAGGTAACTTTTTTTCGAAGTCTTATGATCTTGTATTTGCAGACAATCTCGAAGCCAGTTAAACACCCATCTGAGCTTCCAAAGTGGAACTATGATGGATCAAGTACTGGACAAGCACCAGGAGAAGATAGTGAAGTAATTTTATAGTAAGATTTTATGAGCTTGAACTATTTTTTTTTGTATGTCTTTGCATTTTCATTTTCTTTCTTTTTTGTTTTTGCCCACTATTACCTTGATTATTTTGGTTTTGATTCTTCAGCCCTCAAGCAATATTCAAGGACCCTTTTCGTGGAGGTAACAACATCCTGGTGAGTGTTGTAAGATAATTCAAGAAATTCATTATCGATGAATATATACTTGTATGATTTGCAAACAATAATTCTTTGTACAATTATATTTCAATCAAAAGATGAAGCATATTAATGTAAAGACTAGCTCTTATATTTGATGTGATTTAAAAAGGTGATTTGTGACACTTACACGCCACAAGGCGAGCCGATCCCCACAAATAAACGCTACAAGGCTGCTGAAATTTTCAGTAACAAGAAGGTTGTGGATGAAATACCATGGTAAGTTTGTCTGGATTGGCATTTCGCCAAAATTATTCCATTAGACAAGCATGGATTTTGTTGAAAATGAAAATGAAAAATAGTCCAGTTTTTTATTGTGTGAAAACAAATAAATCATGAAAAACATTTTCGATGTTTCTTTGGTTCTCTTTGAAGCAGAATCGCTAATATTTTTCATAATCAAATCAATCCAACCTAGGTATGGCATAGAGCAAGAGTACACCTTACTCCAAACAAACGTGAAATGGCCCTTGGGTTGGCCCGTTGGAGGCTATCCTGGTCCTCAGGTAATTACATTCTTTATCAGTGAAAATAATTTTGCTACTCTGATCATCTCAATTTATGCGTACTAAATTGATAGATATTGAAATTTTCGTGGCCTAATAGGATTATATCACTTATTTGAATTTAGGGTCCTTATTATTGTGCTGCCGGAGCGGATAAGTCATTTGGGCGTGACATATCAGACGCTCATTATAAGGCTTGCTTGTATGCCGGAATTAACATTAGTGGCACCAACGGAGAAGTCATGCCTGGCCAGGTTTTCTTCTCTTCCTTTGCTTCTCTTTATCTCATGTATGAGAAGGAATATCACTCGCACAATGCATTCCTAGATTATTTTTTCTAATTTGATGATTTCCCCCCCGGTAGTGGGAATTTCAAGTAGGTCCAAGTGTGGGAATTGAAGCTGGAGATCACATGTGGTGCGCTAGATACATCCTTGAGGTAATTTGTCTTCATTTGTTACTGGGTTTGTAGATAAATCAATTTAAAGTAATAATCTGTTGGCGGACAAAATGAAGTCCATTAAATGGTAGTTGGGTTATTCAGTTAGCTACAAGAACATGTCTTAGGGTCTCACCCAAACATTAAGGTTGTATATTAGGATCTTAGATTCGTGGATAGAAAAGAAAAGGGAAGGAAAAAGTGAATGATATGAAAGTTAAATTTTTTCAATTTCCCTTTACCTCCACAAATCCCTCAGCAAATCTAGGACCCAAACACAGCATATGAGGTCCCTTTCAACTCACCCTTGAAGTTAGGTGGCAATCTAGCTATGCTTGTTGAATTAACTAGTTCATTAGGTAAGTGCTTGAACTTAAATAAATAGAACACGCCGATGGTTTTTTAGGGTATCATCTTCCACTTAATTTATAACGGTTTATGTGTGTTTTGCCATGTACTATATGGCTATGCTTGATTTGCGGATTGGTTTAGGGGAGGATTGGATATCATGGGATTATAGGCAGGATTAAAGGTGGTAAGGACAATGGATACATAGCATAAGATTAGTTGTACTAAATTTAGTTAGGATGGGATAAGGGTATGTTACTCTTGGATTTTGACCCGAAATTGTTTTTATTTTTGGAAAACTAGTTGAATAGGTAATCAATATGGGAAAAGATTATTTCTGAATGTTGGATGGATGGAGGGACATAGTCCCATGTCTTGAAATTAGTTATCCCCCCCAATTAATCCCCTGATTACCAAGCTTGAGGGCTCAATCCCGGGACCCAAAAAAAAAAAAAAAAGAAGAAAAGAAACAAACAATGGACTAATATTTTTAATCCCAATCTCCCCACTCTGTCAAACAAACAAGCCTGCATATCTAACACAGAATAACTTGGTTTTTCTTTGTTGGTTGTCACAGAGAATTACTGAACAAGCTGGTGTTGTTCTCTCACTCGATCCGAAACCAATAGAGGTAATCTAGATACCATTTGTATCAAACTTTTCTACCATAAAATGAATAATTATTGAATGACTGTCTTCGTCGTTGAGTCAATAGGGTGACTGGAACGGTGCAGGATGCCACACCAATTACAGGTACTAAACTACTTTTATGATAATTAGTTTGTTATGTACCTGAAAAACAATGTTGATATTTTGGATCAATATTTAGTAATTGCTTAAATAATCGTCGGTTTGACAGTACAAAGAGTATGAGAGAGGATGGCGGGTTTGAAGTAATTAAGAAAGCAATTCTGAATCTTTCGCTTCGTCACAAAGAACACATCAGTGCTTATGGAGAAGGAAATGAAAGAAGGTTGACGGGAAAGCATGAAACTGCCAGCATCAACACATTCTCTTGGGTATGCTCCAAAACTATTTGAGACTCTTATTTTGGGAAAAAAGTTTTAAAAAATAAAATAAAATTCAAGGTTGGGTATGGAAGAGTTTTTAAAAACAGTTTTCTAACTCAAAATCATGTAAAACAGAAATTAAGATTGAATTTTCATCTGGTTTGTTTTTGTTTGTTGTTTCTGAAAACTGTTTCAAAGGGCTAAGTTAAAAAGAACCAATTTTCACACCAGAATATTGTTTATTTATTTGTTTTTTATTTCTCCTTTTGTCTTGTAGTTAGGAAAACTAAAAAGACAAAGCATTGTGTTCTTATAATCTTTACAGCTTTCAGAAACATTATTTTCTGAAAATTGTTTAGAAAAAATGTTTCTTCCTAGTTTTCTAACTAAATCACTTGCCCTCTATTTGCAGGGAGTCGCTAATCGCGGTTGTTCAATCCGCGTGGGGCGTGAAACTGAGAAGCAAGGCAAAGGTATGCTAAAGCTATATTCATGAATTTTCTCTATTTGATTCGAGGAAAACTAGAAAATGGTTTTGCAAACTTTTACCATTTTTACAACAGATTTCACAAATCCCACATTTATAACTGACTCGCTCAACGCCATTGATATGGTTCTTCATTAGATCATTTTAAACTGACCACAGTAAGCATTGCCTATGTTAATTTTCTGGTTAATGTTGTCCCTCATTTTTCCTTCCTTGTTAGGTTACTTGGAAGATAGGCGTCCGGCTTCAAACATGGACCCATATATTGTGACGGCCTTATTGGCTGAAACTACCTTACTGTGGGAGCCTACGCTCGAGGCTGAAGCTCTTGCTGCTCAGAAACTGGCAATGAATGTCTAAAATCAGTCGGAAAAAGAAGCTCTCATTCCTATTTTATTTCTCAGATCTTTAGGGAAGATCACTTGTAAATAAGTCCCCAGTGGTTTCTTAGAAGCATATTAGAGCTTTGGGATCAGGGTGTGTTCATGAATATTTTTTGCCAGATGAAGGACATTGCACTGTTGTAAGCAATTGATTTTTATTTTAATTTTATTTTATGATAAGGAATCCCCCAAACGGGTTCTCTGGACCCATCCCTTGAGATTAAATTATGATACTTGCAATCGCTCACAAATTACTAATTCCAGTCAAGCTCAAAAGACATCGGTGAGAGTTGAACTCAAGATGTCTCAATTTACGTTTCACCTCGAGTTTGTCCTTGTAATGATTAAGGGGTTGTTTGGGATGATTTAAATAAGTGTACTTTTTGTCTTTTTACGAAAAGATATACAGAAAAGTAGAGAGATGATGTGATAGAAAAAAGATAAAAAGATAAAAAGTGTGTACTTATTTAGGATAGCCAAACTTGGCCTAAGTATGTGTGGGGATTAGCAATTGCATCTTTAATACTGTATACAGTCCCGTTTTGGGAACAAAATAGAAAGTCACGCTTTTGGACAAAATGTTCAAAAACGCAAGTGCCAAAAACGCAACAAAATTGGTTTGGGAAGTACAAAAAACGCAAGTATAAAATTACAAATTAGGGTCTATGACAAAAAAATAAAAAAATAAAATTCTTACGTTGGGTAAGGGTATTTTGATAATTTTAATTTGATTTGATAACATAAACAAATATTAAACTAAAAAGTCAAAAGTCATCTTTTTATCAACTTCCCAAATCACTTTTTAAAAAGCTAAAAAGCTTGGTAAAAAGTTAAAACTCAGCATTTTACCAATTTTTCAAAACACCCCACAAAATGATATGGTTGCATTAAAATATATTAATTTAAAGTAAAGTTATCATTAAAATGATATTTAATTACAAAGATGGTACTGTCATGTCGGAAAATTCTGCATGGAAATTTCGTAAGAATATATTTTTCTTTTAAATGAACAATGCAGATCTAGTTTTACAACCTTGATTCTTTCTTTCCAAAGAGGAAAACCCAGAAACAAGAAAAGCAAGGAATTTCAGAAATGAAAGAAAACGAAAAAGCAAGAGAACATACAAAGAACAATTCCATAAGAAAAGTGTTTTCTGGGTTAAGGATAGAAACTATATTCCTAGCTTATATATTTCTCTCTTTTGAGATCAACAAGTGTGTTTCCAATCAGAGTTTTCTCTAGATCAAAAACATTAAAAAAAATTAGAGTTTTCTCTTCTTTCTTCTTTCTGTCTCCAAACAAGCTTCAAAGACCATGGCTTCCGGAGCGGGCAAATCTGCAGCGTTCGTTCTCTTAATCCTCAATATGATACTGTACCTCATTGTCATCGCAATCACCGGGTGGGCTGTCAATCATGCCATCGTATATTCTCGCGAAACAGGTAAAAATGTACTTTCTGTTTGTTTTGACAAAAAGTATTTCTTAAACAGATAATAGTGTTCGTAAAAATATTTTAGCAATTGTGATTGTGGGGGTAGTTGTAGTGGCAATGGCGGGAGGGTGATAGTGGTAGTGGAAATGATGGCGGCAGCAATGGTGGTAATTTCGGCAAAGTGATGGTGGTAGAGACGTGGATAGTGATAGGTAGTGACGGTGAATGCAACAGGAAAATAAACACATGAGGCTTGTGGGGGCACACGACCCTTCCAAATTTTACAAAAATATTATTATTTGACCTATACTATTTTAAGTATTTATAATAAAAAAAGTAGCATTTTGGCCCTTCAAAATGTATATGGTTTTACTTAGGTCCTTCAAAATTTATTAACTTTTTGGCTTTTCAAATTTCATAAAAAACTCATTCGCCCATGTTATTTTGAGTATTTATAATAGAAATTAGCATTTTTACACCTTAAAAATACATATAATTTTATTTCATCCTCTAAACTTCTAAATAATTTTACCTTTAGCCCCCTTTTAGATAATTTTTGGGTCCACCATTGGGCAGGTTGGTGATCACGGCGGCAACTGTGTTTGGAGCACAAGGATGGTTGTGGTATAGGGTTGTGGTGTTGGTTAGATTAATTTGGAAAATATTTTCTACTTTTAAAAAAATAGAAAAAAAGTTCTCCACCCAAATCAGCTAATTTTTTTTTTTTTTTTTTTGTTAACTTTTGTTTTTTGTTATATTAAATGTCAAAAATATAGAAAATATTTTATGTCGAAACAAACGAAGGATAATTACTAATTACTCCAACACCTTGATTTTGCTTTGTGTACCAAACTTTGCGAAGATAACACAAACTTGAATTATTACAACTTGTTTTTTGTAGCATCTGTATTGCCAATCCCAGCTCGGATTTTTCCAATATATTTTCCATTTGGAAATATGGCCACCGGTGTCTTCGTGATTTTCTCTCTCATTGCCGGCGTTGTGGGCTTCTTCACCTGCATCACCGGTATTGTTGATGTAATCCAGTGGACTCTTCCTCACTTGCATTCAGCTGCAGCCTCTTCTCTTATAACATGGTCGCTTACTCTACTTGCCACGGGGTACAGTTTTCCTCAATTCTAATTACTTGTTTGGATTACTTACGAAGAAAAAAATGAGAGAATTGAATGGAGAGAAAATAAATAATTTGATTAGATTTTTTTTTTAGTTTGATTAGAAAGAAAATTTGGTAGAAAGTAAAAGTAAAAGAAAATGAAGTGATAGAAAAGAAATAGAAAAGAAAATATATTTTCTTGCAAGCATTTGATTACGATGAAAATTTTGTAAGAAAAAGATAGAAAAACTTTAGTTATAGATAACTCACACATTCAATTTTTCTTGTGATTGGGAGTTGTGCAGCCGTAATTGTTGACTTTTGGTGAATAGTGTTAACTTTTTAACTTTTTGAGTAACTTTTTGACTTTTTGGCTTTTTTGGAAGTACCCAAACTTGGCCTCAATTTTTCTTGTGTTTTCTTGCAAGGAAAAAAAAAAGAGAAGTTACAATATTAATATGTGTTATACAAGAAAATTAATTTTCTTATACTTTCCACCACTTTCAAACTGAACAAACTAATAGAAATTAAATTTTCTCTCTTTCTTTTACATTCTACCTATTTAATTCTAAACAAACTGAGCCATAGTTTCTTTTCTTTTCTTTTCTTTTGCACACTCATTATCTTTTTATTTTATTTTTTTTCTCTTTAACTTAACAATTCATTTTTTATTTTTCTTTTCAGATTCGCATGCAAAGAGATTAATATAGGCTGGACAGGTTCAAACTTGGTAAGCAACCTAGATTTTTCAAAGAATTCCCATCATGTTTGGTATTATTTAAATTTTAAATTTTTATATTTTAGAAAATACAAAGAAAAAAGAAAAAGAGAAGAAGAAGTTAATATACCATTTTCAAATACTGTTTTGTGGAAATTTTCTAAATATCACTCATGCTTTAGGAAACACCAAAAAGTAAACTACTGTTGTTTTCGAACTTTTCATTGTTTTCATTCCAAAAATCATAAAAAATAAATTGTTTAAACTTGTTTGATGAATTGTATCTGAAAACTATTTTCCATTTTTTCATAGAGAAGATTAATGATGGTGTTATATTGTAATGATATATTGCAGCGGAGTTTGGAAATCATTATGATATTTTTGAGTGCTACACAATTGTTTTGCATGGGAGCTATCCATGCAGGGGTTGAAGATGTTGCTACCAGACAGAGGATGCGCGGAGGAATGTTTTGAGCTTCAAATTAATATAATTTCCACTTATGATGTTTATAGCTCTATTTATCCATGAATTATATGTTCAAAAATGAAAATTATGTACTTACTTTTCTTGTTTTTTTGTTGCTTTGTTTTGTTTTGTTTTTCTTCCATATTTTAGTGTATATTTTAAGAAGATTGTAAAGGTTTGTTGAGGTGCTTGCCCTCACATGGTGTGTGGAAATTGTGATATTTCTTTTTCTATGCATGAACTTACAAATTTCAAGCAATGTTCGAACAATTTAATCAAGGGTTACTTAATTTGCAGCACTTGTATTGTAGCAAGGTAGATAGAATTATACGACCAAAAAAAAAAATCAAAATATTCTTTTATTTTTTTTTATTTTTTATAAGATTCATTTTTTTTAAAATTTTTTTGGATCGGCAAAAAAAATCTTTATTGATGAAAATATACAAGGTATAATAGATTACATCAATAAAGAGGAGCTTGGAATCAAGGGTTACTTAATTTGCAGCACTTGTATTGTAGCTAGGTAGATAGAATTCTACGACCAAAAAAAAAAAAAAATCAAAATATTCTTTTATTTATTTTTTATTTTTTATAAGATTCATTTTTTATTTTTATTTTTTTGGATCGGCAAAAAAAATCTTTATTGATGAAAATATACAAGGTATGATAGATTACATCAATAAAGAGGAGCTTGGAACTATTACAAAGCTCCAAGCGCTAGTTGGTGAGGAACCAACAAAACAGAAAGCAAAAGATGCTGCCACAGCATCAGAATTAGATGAAAAAATACCCCAAAACCAGATAATAGCAGTAGAGACTAACAGATACTCAAACTTGGAGACAACACCAGTTCCTGATTTGCCTCAAATTAAGAATGAAATCCTACATTCAGCCCATTCAACCAGTAGACCTGCATTCAGCCCATTCAACCAGTAGACCTGCATTCAGCCCATTCAACCACCCAACACAAAGCAAACCAGCAACAATCAGCAGACCAGCATTCAGCCCAATCAAGCATCCAGTATCAAAGCCATACAGCCGTTCAGCCACCAACACAGAACCAGTAAATAGAACTAGAACAACAATCCGCACAATAACCAAAAAGAACAAAACAGAACCAGAACACCAAACCCAAATCCAAATAGTATGAACCAAAATAAACAAAACCACTGCTGCTGCACATAGGAAAAAATAGATTCAAGCCCAGTACATTGACAAAAGAACTAAGCTGCTGTTACACCTTAATCTGATGAGTGACATTATAAACCACATCAGACCCTGCCTCTTAAACAAACTCTAATCTGCCAAATGTTATATAGGAAATCATTAATAGTAAACTGATAATGCTTCGCAGAGTCTTTCAACCAAATCGCTAGTCTAATAATAATTAACTCCTACAACTCCTTCATATTCGGCTGAACATTTTTAAACAAGCAATCATTCCGATGTTTGTAGATGGACCAAAGCGCAACCAAAGGTATAGCTTTCCAAATCCTCTTTTCAGCTTTCATGAAACAGGAACCATCTCACCAATGCAACAAGCACTCAACCGAACTAGGCACAACCCAAATCGATCCTCACCACTGCAACATGCCAGTCCAAACCTTCCAAACCAGAGGACAAGAAATAAGTACATGTGCAACAGATTCAGCCTCAGATTTACAAAAAACACACACAGTGGAGGCTTCCTCACCTAGAACTCCAATCCTTTGAAGAAAGACAGACGTTTTGACTTTATGTTTCCAAGCTAACCACCCAAAAAATTGAACTTTGGATGGGAGATAATTAAGCCACAGCAGTCTATTAAACCTCACACAATCACCAAAACCCAATTCACTATGCCTATGAAGAGATGCAACAAAGGACAGACTTGTTTGGCATGCTAGCCATGTTAGTTTATCTTTTTCACCCAAACATAATATAGGAGCTGCTCTTAACACAACAGTGAGCCTAGATACCTCCTCACCCTCCCACTGTAGCAGAGTTCGTCTAAAACTGAGATCCCACAACTCAGAGCAACCTTTTTTATCAACAAAAAACTTGAGAGAACCATTGTTAACAGTGGAAAGGGAGTAGAGTCTAGGGAAAACCTCCTTAAGACAAATTTCACCACACCATTTATCATGCCATAATCTCGTTCTGCTCCCATTACTTACTTTAATTTGAAAATTGTTAACAAAAAATTGTAGAAAATTGTTTCTATACTCTACCACTGCTAAAATGTTACCCCATAAATTAGACCATCTAATGCCATTAGATTGATTTGGAAGCCAAGCTCCAACATCAATATTATATTTACTGCAAACCACATTTTTCCATAGTGCCTCCTCTTCATTGGCAAATCTCCACCACCACTTCAGTAATAAGCAAGCATTAACCTCTCTGATTCGCCTAATTCCCAACCCACCTTGATTGATGCTCTTGATCACCTCATTCCATTGCACTAAGTGAATTTTTCTCTTCAAGTCTGAGCCTCCCCACAAGAAGGCTGCTTGAATTTTATCTATTTCCTTAGCAACTCCTTCTGGCATCTTAAAGAGTGATAAATAATATACAGGCAAGCTAGAAAACACTGATTTGATTAGAGTCAGTCTGCTAACAAAAAAAAGGAGCCTCATTTTCCAACCTGTAAGCCTGAGTTTGATACTATCTATAACAGGTGTCCATGACTTCTTTCTGCATGGCGAAGCACCCAAAGGTAGGCCAAGGAATTTGAAAGGTATGCTTTGAATCTTACAATTAAGCAAAGTAGCAAAATCTTTGATCAAACTATCAGATAGTCCAACCCCACAAACCACACTCTTGTGGTAATTAATCTTGAGCCCTGAGACCATTTCAAAACACCTTATATTCTTTTCAGATTCAGCACCTCATCAGCTTCACATAATAGAAATGAGTCATCGGCAAATTGTAGATGAGATGCAATCACCCCATTGCCTTCAATATGTACTCCTTTTACCAATCTCTTTTTCCTTAGCTCTGAGCAGTAGAATATTGAGCCCTTCGGCTGCCAGATTAAACAGAAAAGGTGATAATGGATCACCTTGCCTGAGGCCTTTCTGAGGACTAAACTCTTTAGTTGGTGACCCATTCACAAGAATTGAGATTCTGGCAGTGGAAATACACTCTATCATCCATGTACGAGCACAAAATAATCTTCTCGTATAATCCTGTTGATCAAGTTTGCGCTCCTCCAAAAGTCGTCGCTTTACTCCCTGAAAACACAAACGTGAGCTAGCCGGCGGGTGTGTGCTGGATACCTCTCCGATGCCTAAGTCAGCAAAATAGACAAATAGACAAATAAACAAAAGCTCTCTGTATTCGGGAATCAAAGTTGTGTTACCTTTACATAGGTTATGTTGTGAGCTTTTATAGGTTCCGCGTGGCACAACCCTAGTAGGACTCTTATTCCTCCGCTTAGAGTCCTCCTAGGAATCACACTCCTGAAAGATAATATTTATCCTTTAACACCCCTCTCATTGCTTAAACCAAGTGAGATGGTTTTACCATGGTTTGGATAATAGTATGACCGAGCTAACGTTATCTCTTTCATACTTAACCTGGCACCTTTATATGCAACATATAGCTCGGCTCATGTTCACTTGTACCTCGATTTTATTCTGTTTAGACCGAGCTAACCACCCCAAGCCTTGACCGAGCTAAAAAGGGCAAGGTCCACCTTAAGAAGCCCAAACACCTCGGCTCTGAATACTATGACCGAGGTAATTATCACCACTCCGACTGTGGTAACTGTAACCATATTTGGACCGAGCTAGCTACAAAGTCCTCTTCACTAAGCCCTTTTTACCGCGGTCCATAGAACAGCCAATTACCACGCCTTGGCCTAGCTCGGCCCTAATGCATATAAAAACTCCCTCTCAATTACCCCTTAATTCAATCTGCGTAGCATGATTGGGATTACCTGTTACTAGTTGAGCTAAAACTTTAGACTTTACCGAGCTAAGTTATCACTGGGCTACCAATTAGTTCGGTCAAAAAACGTCTTTTCAGTCGCTGCAGAATTGAATCGCTTACGATTCTCTTGGACACGTGGCAAGTCTTTATTGGTTAATTACAACTGCCATAGCCGCCCTCGTACCTCGCAAAATTTGAACAGTCCCGCCCAAACTCATGCCTTACACAAAACAAAACCTTACTTTTTGAACAAAACACATCACTATTCATCTTCCCTCTCTCTTTCCCTTTGAGTCGAGTCTTCATTGTTGCAACCCTAGTACCTACCAAGCTCGTGTTTCTGCTGATATTGTTTTCACCTTCGGTTCCTTCATTTTGAACTGGTACATGACTCAAATCTTTTTCGTTCATTTTGCATTGTATTGTACTACATAGCACAATATATATGTTTCTTGAAAACACTTTCTTGTAGTTTCCATGGGAAATAACCACTTTGTTCCAAAAACCATGTGATAGACCCACTGGTTTCACAACCAATCTGAGAAATGATGCTTTTGATCCAAAATAATATTTCAACCGAACTAGTAACCTGTTTCTATTTAAGATGTTCACCCAGCCGAACTAGATAAGTTTCAATCGGTCTAAGAACCTTCTGTTTCATTTAGCCGAGCTAGGAAACTGTATTAGGTGTGCGTACTACCGAATTACAAAGTCTTAACCAACGATCGAGCTATAACTTGGGGCCAAACCAGCTCTCTGACTTAGTCAAAATCTAACCAAGAATGTGCTGTACCCTAAGCTTCAACCGGGCTACGAACCCCTCGTTCCACTTAATCGAGCTAAAGTCCTCCTGCTCCAACCGAGCTAAGAACGGATAGTATCCCACGTAGCCGAGCTAGAATTCCATTCATTTTGCCTTTGTTTCTTTTAGCACAGTCCAACGATTTGGGCTTAACACTTTTCATCACCACTTTGCAGACTGACTAGGTTGGCCAGACACACCTTTGCACACTCAACCGAGATACTGAAGGTCATCTCAGCACCGAGCTAGCACTCCGAGCTAAATTATACATAATTTAAGCCCGCATGGAGAAGTATCGATTTTTAGTGAACTCTCCAGGGGCCATAGCCGAGTTCCGAAAGGATTACCAAATTCCAGATGACGTCCGTATTTCCCTAGCCGAGCTAGATACAACTCCATGGGAAAAACAGGGCTTTGTTCCCTTCGCCGTCCTTTCTATTGTAGAAGCCGAACTCCGATTCCCTGTACAGCCACTCCTTTGTGAATTCCTTAGGCAAACTAGAAGATGCCCAACCCAACTTAGCACCAATTCATACAGAATA